TGTAGAGGCTCAGCTTGGTGCTGCTGCTATTCCACTGAAGCCAATCCGATCATACAGTTTGGAATCTTGCGATGTTAAAGAGTATTTGGACGGTGAGGAAAATACGTATACAGTTCTTGAAGCACCAGACTGTTCAGCTATACGAAGACCTATACGTAATGGTTCCTCAATTTCGTATGAATGGGAAGTTGCGTGGCGTTGGCTCAACAATGAGGCGCCTACGTCTATATCCTGTCCCGAGGAGTATTCCCTTTCATCCCTAACTCCTGACCAACTATCCTTACTCCACCAGGAGATTGATGCATGGATAGCAGATGGTTGGCTTCTCGAGGTTCCTCCAGAGCAGGAATATAATATTCGATGCTGTTTGCCTATTGTACCTGCCATTAATGAGCTAAAAACTACTCCAGTCCGACCCACACTCAACTTTGCCTACCTCAACTCTTATTGTATTCAAGCTAGCGATCCCTTCGCTGCCGACTGTGGGCGAGAGCTACGACGCTGGCGCCGTTGTCCCCAAGCCCAAGTGCTCGACGTTCGTCGAGCATACCCGTCATTGAAGATTCGTGATGACCTCAGTTGGTACCAGTGCTTGAAGTATAAGGGTCGTTATTATAGGCTTGTCCGTTTAGGGTTCGGAGCGTCTTGTGCTCCGCGATTACTGAAAAATGTATTAGACTTTATTCTTCAAAGTTACCCTTCTACTCTCCGATACTTCGATGATATCTTGGTGACTCGCTTGAATACTCAGTCGGTTGAAGATTTCAAGAAGGTGGTTACTGCTGTACGGAACATCCTATCTCAGAACGGCTTACAAACAAAAGAGCCTGTGGATTTGATAGGATCTGAACTTTTGGGATTGGCAATCTATCTAGACAGTAGTGGTGTATTGCGTTGGAAGCGACGTCGTCCACTAGAAGCTCTTCTTGAATCTATTGAGTCCCGTGTTAATGAGTCACCGCCATTGCCCGCACGAGAGGTTGCTTCATGGCTTGGCAAATTTGTTGCACATGTGCCTAGTGCTGGCTATTTACGTGTCTGTGTTGCTTTTGGTCGTCGTCTTCTAAACCACTCATGTGGTAAAGATCGATCAGCTTGGCCACGACCTATATCTGAAGATGTTCAAGATTACATCAGGAATTTATGTCGTGCTATTCGGCAACATGGTGATCCTGCTTCTGGTCGGTGGCTCTTACCTGATCGTGAAGAGAAGATCAAATGTTGACTAGATGCAAGCGAACTGGCGGAGGCAGTCGTTCTCACCGATCAAGCAGATTCAGTCATCGCTGATGGTTCGTGGCTTGCTCCTACTAGTGATGTTACTAACTCCGGTAAACCATCTACACATATAAATGTGCGAGAGCTGGATGTTATCATCCGAGGTATCAAACACATTATCTTGTATGGGTTTAAAAAAGCTACTATCATAAGTGATTCCCGTAGTGCAATTTCTTGGCTTTCTAAGACGCTAAGTCATCAGAAAGTTGCAACCAAAGGGATGTATAATTTCCTCATCGATCGACGTCTCTCGGTTATTCGTGCGTTGATACGTGAGTATGATCTTACTCTCGATGTGCAGGGGATCTGTTCAGAAAAGAATCTATCAGATTCTCTAACAAGGCTACCGAAGTCCCTGACCGCTAAGCTCCCATTAGGTGCAGCTGTCTTTGTAAACAGCTGGGGGAACGAGGATGGTCAGTCCCGATGGTGGCCTAGACTAGGCCAGACGAGCAACTCTGCATGACTAGGCCGCCTAGTCATGCAGAGTTGCTCGATGCGCAAGCTGCTGAGAACATCGATTGCGATGCTTCTCCTAAGTTTGATGTTCATGATGACCTGGTGTACTACGACGGTGTGCCGTATTTACCGGCTTCTCTACGGCAACAAGTTATTCTGATGCTCCATCAAAGTCTGCTTCATCCAGGTCGAGCTTCGACTTCATCTACGCTGAAAGAGTACTTTCGGTTCCCTAACTTGGACTCTGAGGTAGAGGATGCCCTGGAGTCCTGTCCTGATCAAGTCTGTAAACGAGAGCGGAAGAAAACTTTTCCGCTCAATACTGATACATGCAGGCGGTTGGCTACTAAACCATGGTCCTGTGTGGGCGTGGACATCACGTATGTCTACTCTGTCCCAGTTCTGTCATGTATCTGCGAATTCTCTAGATTCGCTGCTGTACGAGTGCTCCGCGGTGAGTCAGCTGATCAGTTATATGCTGCTCTGCAAAGTATTTTTTGCTCACCTGGGCTTGGTTTCCCAACTTTTGTGAGGAGCGATCGAGGCTCTAAATTTTTAGCCTTACGATCAGTTCTTCAGTCTAGAGGAACAACGTTAGTTCCCTCGAGTGGCCACCGAGGCTCAGCTAATGGTATTTGTGAAAGATTTCACTCTACATTGAAAAGGAGGTTGTTATTCGCACCTAGTCACTATTCGTTACAAGCTCGCCTTAATACAGTTTGTGAAGCTTACAATCGTACGGTCCACGGTTCTACACAGCAAACACCGTTGGAACGTCTCTTCGGTCGTAAGCTCAGGCTTGGTGCAGAACCTCCTTGCCGAGTTCCTCCAGCTGTTGGTGTCTCTCCGTTCGAAGTAGAACAGGAGGTTTGGGTCCTGAAGCCCACAGAACAACGTCGAGCAGGAGCTAGGTTTCTGACCGGTGCCTATAAGATAACTACTACTACCCCATTTGCTTCGCGAGTGCGTAGTGTTGATCATCCCGGTCGAGGTGAACTTGTAGTCACTAACGACAGACTTATTCCGAAAGCGAAAGATGCTGATATTCAACAAGAAGACAGCTCGATGAGTGATGACCACTCCTTTTACTTAAGTTCCGACGATACTCTGTCCGTGTTCTCCTATAATCCTATAGAGGATGTACACGAGCAACTTGCTGATCAGGATAATGGTATCCCTGAAGTTGCCGAGAGTCCACATGCATTATCTAATGATGGTATTGAGGGTCATGGTCCTTCTACTACTATCGGACCAAGAGATCGTCATCCCCCAGTACGTTTTGTTCCCGGTGGTGATCCCCGTGAACTTAGTTTCGATAAGGACGGATACCCTATCGAGCCTCAGCCCTAAGTGACGAACAAGGGGGGCGAGATGTTATAGATGATATTAGTCTCTTTTAGCACGTATGTTCAGAGTATTGGTAGTTGCGCTGTTCGTTCTCTTTACGTGCATAGCTAGTTCATTACGCTATAGTCTCTATGGTATTAAGAAGTCTTTCTACCATCCTTCTCTTGTGGTGTTCGTCCCTGTGGCCGCCAGCTTCTACAACACCGAGTCCCGTGCTCGGCATTCAGGATATACCTCATTGTAGGCTAATGCTGCGATGAGAGATGTATGATTCCTTTCCTGGTAAGTGAAGCTAAGGGACAAGGGCTGATGTTCGACTAGACTCATAACAGTGGCCGGAGAAATCTATTGCCTAGGAGTTCATCAGCTCGGGGAGATCAGCATCATCCTGTCTATAAGGACCTTGCTGTCAACGCCATCAACTATGGTATCATACGACACTGTCGTAACGACAGCAGGAACAGCGCGATATTGCGCTAGCCTGTGCCCATCCAGCCGGAACCATGCAGTTACACCGGTGAGAATGAGGGCGATAGTGGTATCAGTTTCTCCAACATGAGGAAAAAATGGAAAACATTCCACATACAAGAGTGGGTGGCGTCTGAACCACCACTGGCCGCTCGGGCGTTCATCGCGGTCTGTATCGATAAAGAGCTTGTTCCCTACATAGAGGACGAACAAAGCAACCATCTCACTATAGCTCTTAATCGCCGAAGTATTCCACAAACCTCACCCTTATGTTCTCAGATATCTTACTAAGATACTTGAGAACAGAATGGTAAAG